ATGTGAAACTAAAAAGAAAAGATCTTTTTCTGGTCCAAGATTTCTTAAAAAAATGCTGCATTGATGCATAACAATGCAGAGCTCTAATTCTTTCTTTAGAATTAGGGTTTCTTCAAATATGCCAACTAAACGTGTGAGTGATCCATTTTAAACTTGTTTCTTTTTTGATCTAACAGACATCACTTATTATTGGAAGATGATATAAACTAATAATTATGATAATTTGTTGTTGCTTTGTATTTCACATTGTACCTATATAGGCTTGCATAATAAATGAGATCATTTGCATAATATTTACTCAGGGTTGCAGGCACCTCTATGAACTACCGCCAACTTGAGGAGTCTATCAATAAGTGGACAGTAGATTTGGAAGAACAAGAAAAAGTCTTTTTGACTCAAGCTACACAAGTTAATGCTTGGGACAGACTTCTGATTGAAAATGGTGAAAAGGTAAAATATAATACCTTACTTTATTCTCGCTGGAATTCATTTTTCGCTGGGTGTTTTGTATGGGATTTATTTTCACTGATTTTTAAGGAGTTGCTGAATTTCATTTTCACTCGATCCATTCCTTCAGCATAAGTATTTTACAGTGGTTGTTTTAATTTTTGTTTGTTCTGTGGATTTTGATTGATTTGCATACCAAATTCAAATACCAACATGATATATTGTTAACATATGCACCCTATGAGTTCTTTGTATATTCCTTAAAACTTGCATTGTTTCCACAATGCAAGTTTTAAGGAATAGCAATCTTCTAGGCTTCATTTCATACTCAAATTATTGTTTATAACTTCAATGAAAATAATATATTTCTAGTGGATGGTATGTTTTGTCATTCCTGATGAGTGAAGTTCTTTTCAATTCTCAGTATCTTGCAGAAAATAAACATGTTAGACTTTAGAATGTTTAATTTGTTCTTGTGCATTCCAAAGCTCAGAAGTCATTTGGTTCAGCAAAAAATGGCAAACAGAATTTGAAAAAGTGTTTTGGGACATATTGCGTCAGCTATGAGCCATGAATAAATAAAACATGAACACAAAATAAAAACAAAAGTTTGCAAGTGCGAAACAAACTATATAAAACAAAACATGGTGATTTTTTGCACATAGTAATTGAGATTACCTTCATCCCTCCCTCTAAGCGAAGAGTTTGCTGAGTGCATGTTTTAATTAACCACAGCTCTTAAACACACTGCTTTGAATGGCAGTCATACAAAGTGGTAACTCTAATATACGCATTAGTCAATATTTTTTTTATCTAATTTAACTTAACCCATCTGTGTTATTTATAGTAACTTGGTTTGTGGAATTTGATCAATCAATTTTTAAAGCAAGTGAGTCATCACCTGCTCATGCATCAGATGGCCATAGCGTGTCATTGTTTACAAACAAGTGTCTACCCAGGTGCCTTTGTATTTTTAGCGTGTGTTGTTATCGTTGCTTGGGACTCAATTCCTGCGTTTGCGCAGGTGACGACCCTCCCGCTTTAAAGTCAATATAATGTATTGGTTATTAATAGAATCTTGTTGTCAATGTATTACAGATTAAAGTACTTCATGGTGATGTTGAAAAGGTAAAAGTTGATCAACAGAGGTGAGAGAAGCTACACATCATAGATGATATTAACATTAGTCCATTACTGTTAATGTTTGTTTTACAAATAACACATGAACTGGAATGGAATGTATACGAGTTTACTGGAGTTCTGGTGTCTGTGAAAATAACGTCACTGTCAATGTCGAACAAAATCCCTACTGCTTCGTCCTAAAGTTCGTTGATGTAGTCGCACACAATTTGGACTTGCTACTCAGCTGCAATGGCACACTATGCTTTTGTTTACAGTCTGTCAGTCAATCATCTTTGACCTTTAAGCATCTGCTCTACTGATTGGCTAAGAATGACATCACAACTAGTCAACATTGCTTTCTTATCAGACTAGACGCTTTTTTATTTCTCTAACAACACAAGAATAATTTTCATGACAGAATTGCAATAGCTGTGATGAAAGGTGGTAAAAAAGTTGGCAATCTTTGGCATGACATTGCAAAATTGCTGGCCCCAGTTATGGATTCGCAAGCTGCTGCCAAATATTTTATGAAGCCAAAACAACGTAATTTCAACCACTTTCCCAAGTACGGGTTGCTACAATATTGCAACATTGGTTTAATTGTCGATAATGCTAAAGCCGAACGAGTGCGACACTAGCCTCACGCTCTCCATATACTGTAAGATTTGCTTTAATCATTTATAAGGAAGCACGAACCAAACTGCTGACCCTTTTCAGGGCCACGATATATTTCAAAAAGAAAACTACCGTTTTTTCTTTAATATACATTTTTGTAGACTTGCTGACTAATATGATTCAGATAAAAAAATGTAAATTACATAAACGAGACGAACTCGCTGCATGGGCTCTTACCCGGATAAATACGACAAGTACAAACCACATAAGATTGTGGGTAATCACAGGCTTTGTGCGGTGAACAATGTCATTTGTTTACCTTCAGGCATGAACTACTGGTTCTTGCTTAACAAGTCGCTGTGCGTGCTCTTGTGTGTAGAATGTAGCTTGTCCTGTACCTAGCACTGCCCATCTACTATAAAGTAAAGACTGTTTATAATTGTAGGTTGGAACATGAACTAGACTTCATACTCAGTCAACAAAGAGAGTTAGAAGATATGTTGAAACCGTTAGAAGAATCCGTCAAAACCCAGCAGAGCTCGGTCTATGCGCAACATGCTGATATTGAAAGAGAACACACGTAAGTTGGTTTCCTGCCAAAAATAGTCGCTTAGGGACAGGTTAGTACACAGTCATGATGATATAGTATTTATGAGATCACAAGTAAAATTGTGTTGTGTCACAGTGTAATAACCTCTTTAACGTATATGGTTTGATGCGGTAGATCAAATACAAAAGATTTTGCTACTGGTTCTGTTATTTTGTTTGGAACTATAGATTCTCTGCAATCTGTGAATCATGCACTTACTCTGTGAATCATGCACTTACTCTGTGAATCATGCACTTACTCTGTGAATCATGCACATACTCTGTGAATTATGCCCATACTGTTGTTATTTTACAAGTTCACGAAGTTTTAATTTAGCAGATTTTACAGACTTTACGTTTGCATTATTGTTGAATTTTGTGTTTATTTTATTTTATTTGTCGTTGCCAGATATCAAATGGCAGAGAACATAGATGCACAGTTGAAGAGGATGGCACAGGATTTGAAGGAAATAATAGAACATGTTAACAATATGAACACATCATCACAAGATAGCAATGATCCTGTAAGTTATAGCTCAGTCGGGTTTCAGTTATAGCTCACTGGGGTTCTGAGATCACATAAATATAGGTGTCTGAACATAGAACAATGATAAAGCAGAAGAAGATGTACTTGAATCCTAAAAATACACATTCACAAATTATCAACATTCATTTGGATACATTAATGTACAAAAAATGGATGTAGATGCATTATTGTCCCAAATTAATTAACACAAACGGCAACAAATAAATTTCTATATTCAGGAACTCGCAGTAACAAAATAACTGATGCTGCATGGCATTGACCTTTGATTTGTATTTTGAAACATACATGTAGGCATCAGCAGATAAAACAAATATATTTGTTTAATTCTGTTTTATATGAAAGTACAGAATAATGATCTTATGGTGACAAAATGAATTTTTTTTTTATTCACGTTCATGTGTGGGAGATATGTGGTATTGCATGTGTTTGGACCAGGATATGTTGATTTGGACCAGGATATGTTGATTTGGACCAGGTTATGTTGATTTGGACCAGGTTATGTTGATTTGGACCAGGTTATGTTGATTTGGACCAGGATATGTTGATTTGGACCAGGATATGTTGATTTGAACCAGGATATGTTGATTTGGACCATGATATGTTGATTTGGAACAGGATATGTTGGTTTGGAACAGGATATGTTGGCTTGGACCAGGATATGTTGGTTTGGACCAGGATATGTTGGTTTGGACCAGGATATGTTGATTTGGACCAGGATATGTTGGTTTGGAACAGGATATGTTGGTTTGGACCAGGATATGTTGGCTTGGACCAGGATATGTTGATTTGGACCAGGATATATTGGTTTGGACCAGGATATGTTGGTTTGGACCAGGATATGTTGGTTTGGACCAGGATATGTTGATTTGGAACCAGGATATGTTGATTTGGACCAGGATATGTGGTCGCAGTGTCTATACTGTTGTATAGTTCGAACATTGAAAATAGTTTATGCCAAGAAAATGCACTGTATAATCAGCACTTGCAATTTGCTTGTGAAAATCCCAGGAGAGACAAAGACGGTCACTGTCAGGAACGCCTGGCACAAAAATATATATATATATATATATAAAAAACAAAAAACATTGTTTGTATTGTTGGTACATTGTCTCAAGTGTTTGTTTTCATATTGTTCTCTACAGATTCAGCAAGTAGCCAAGATTTTGAATGCACACATGGATTCATTGCAATGGGTTGACCAAAATACAGGTATGATTCATTCATCTGTTCACAGTATACTTACTTAGAAATTAATGGCAGCCAACACAGAAGTGACAAGTGATCGATAGCCCACACAAAAATGACAAGTGATCGATAGCCCACACAGAAATGACAAGTGAACGGTAACCCACACAGAAATGACAAGTGAACGGTAACCCACACAGAAATGACAAGTGAACAGTAACCCACACAGAAATGACAAGTGAACGGTAACCCACACAGAAATGACAAGTGAATGGTGGCCCTGCATAAAAAAATTACAAGTGAGTGACAACCTGTGTTAAAATGACAAGTGAATGGTGGCCCTGCATAAAAAAAATTACAAGTGAGTGACAACCTGTGTTAAAATGACAAGTGAATGGCAACTCATATAGAAATGACAAGTGAGTGGCAACCTGTGTTAAAATGACAAGTGAATGGCAACTCATATAGAAATGACACGTGAATGACAGCTCGTATAACAATGACAAGTGAGTGTCAATCCATATAGAAATGACAAGTGAATGACAACCCATATAACAATGACAACCCATATAGAAATGACAAGTGGATGACAGCCCTTATAGAAATGACAAGTGAGTGACAACCCATATAGAAATGACAAGTGAGTGGCAACGCATGTAGAAATGACAAGTGAATAACAGCCTGTGTATGTGACAAGTAAATGACAAATGATTGCAACTCGCATGAAAAATACAAAATGGAGGGTTGGTCTGCTGTAAATTAATGTTTTCGTTCCATTTTTTCTAGCTCTCCTTAACAGAAAAGTAGACGAGATCTCAAAGCAGAATGAAATAGTACGTAAACAACAAGAAAGAAGCTTT